ACACACACACACACACACATAAACAAGCAGACATTAGGAAGCTGTCGCTCTTGTACATTTTTCGCTTTCGTCACCTGGCTCGACCCCCATTGGCTGGATTGTTGCAGGTTTGTTTACTCCCGCCCACTACGATAACGTTGTCTTTCTGTCCTCGACTCGATACAGTTTCTTTGCGCACACGCAAATGAGCGCTCGCGCATCTTGCTTCACTCACTCTCATCTTCCGCCGGCCTGTCGCAGCCTGTGCCCTCTGTTCCCTTCACTCCTGCTCCGATCCGGCCGGTGTTTCCGCCCACTTTTCCCTCGGCTCAGACCCCTTCACCGCTGCCTGGGACCCTCTTGCCGCTCTCACCGTCCCTCCGACCCTACCAACCAACTGACGATTGACAAGCGTCAACTGTCGACTCTCGACTGCCAACTTTTGACTGCAATCTCGTCCTGGCAGCATTCACTTTTATGCCGCGGTCGGCTTATCTCGTCACTTTTCCCGCACAAAAGCACCGTCTACGCACCGTCTTGTCGACCGGCTCGTCGCCGGCAAGCCTCGCCGTCCGCCGCCTCGCCGATGCCTCTGGCAGCACCCTTCGCCTCGCCCACCGCCTCCTCCTTAGCCCGCATCCACACCCGGCCCTCGCCGTGACCCCTTTGCTCACAGCCACTCCAGCCTCGCCCTCGCCCTCGCCCTCGCCCTCGCCCTCGACTTGGCCTCTTACATAACGCCGGCCTCGTGCCGACCAGTCCCCACCGCGGCAGAATGAATGCGGCCGTCGACGCCATCACTTTGGCCGCTTTCAGCGGCCTTCAGCCGCGGCCAGCGGGTACCCTCGGCCTCGATTTGCCGCCCCATTTGATGTCGGCCAACAGTTTGTTGGATTCGTCGACGTCCACGTCAACGTTGACGTCCACGTCGACGGCCTCCCCGTCGGCCGCAGCTGCTGCGGCGGCGGCGGCGGCGGCAGCGGCCGCTGCAGCTCTCTTCGCTCCGACGCCGAGTTCGCTGTTGTCGGGCCAGCTTCTGCTGGCCGGTCTGTTGTTCGGCCCGTCCGAGCACCAACCGTGTCCGTTCCGCACGACCGGCTTCTCGGCCTATCCCTCCTCCGAGCTCGACTACCTCGGCCCGAGCCTGCCGCCTCCCGTCGGCCTCGTCTCGGCCAGGCCCTCCTCCACTCCCTCCACCTCGCCCGTCCATCGCTCATTCGCCCAACTCGATCTGCCCTCGCCAGCCCAACAGACTCGACTGCAAGTCGAGCGCCAACTTCAACTGCAACTCCAACT